TTTATGTACATCCAGAAGTTTAGTGAGCATGCGGACATATCAAGATAGAACACGTGGATGATGCCCAAGGCACAATTTCCCAGTTTCTGTTTGACATTTCTTTTTTTGTTTGAGGTGCCAAAAAGTGTGGCGCGCATGGTCAATTTACAGTATGTATTGTACCCCATGGTAGGAAATTTCGTGCAGCATTTTGTAAGTGAAAGTTTTGACAATCAACTGATACATCAATGGGATCATACATCATATATCCAATGGATTTATAGAAGTAGATGCAATCCATAGAAATCTGGTTGGTGGTTTGGAACATGAATGGATTATGACTTTCCATTCAGTTGGGAGATCTTCATCATCCGAAGTGACGAACTCCATGATTTTTCAGAGGGGTAGCTCAACCACCAACCAGAAAACCATTATATATATATATATTAACCATTATTAACCATTAATTCACTATTAGCCATTAATCACCACCATTAATCGCCATTAATCACTGTTAAATTAGCTTCTGATGGCCACGGTCTGATGGCAACCAATTGCTATTGCCAGGACCCCATTGCAGCTGCACTACAAGCAGTTCTTCATGCAGACCGAGGGCAAGTGGGACGCTGGATGACGGAAAACCCTGGGAAAACCCATAGGAAAACCATATGGAACGTCCCCGAACGAAATGGAGGTTCTTAATAGGAAAAACACCAGAGGCTACGGGACCCTAATCAATCAGCAACGTAGGTGAATGATTCTGGAAATCTTGTGATCCAAGTGGTGTTGCTCAAGTGCTAAAACTGTCTGGGATAAAATTCAATCATCCCCAGTCGTGTTCGAATGTGTAGAGTTTATTATAATTTAATTTGGTTTATGCATGAAATTCTGGTTGGTGGTCTGGAACATTTTTTACTTTTCGAGTCAGCTGGGAAGAATAATCCCAACTGACGAACTCATATTTTTCAGAGGGGTAGGTATACCACCAACCAGAATTAACCAGAACTTTTGGGAGTTTGTTACAACTTAACTTGGTTTATGCATGAATTTAACACGTTTGGTTTATGTTTTGTTTATTACAAAAAATGACAAAAATAAATATTCAACAACCCTCAGAGTTTGCTGGTAAGATTTTCATAAGGTTTATGTGTGAAACCGGCCATGATTCGCAGATGATTTTGACACAGTCAGGAAGAGATGCTCTTCCTGCTGAAATCGCTGGAGGACATCAATCTGCCAGGTGTGGGACATCGTCTTCGTTAAAACGGTAAAAAGGAGAAATTTATGGAAGTTCATCAATTTAAATCTGGTTGCCAGGGAATTTCTAATGAAGTTCATCAATTTAAATCTGGTTGCCAGGGAATTTTTAATGAAGTTCATCAATTTAGGTTCATTAAACAGATTTAAACAGACCATTTACGATCCTTGGTTGTTCTTTGATTACCACATATATCCACATATCAATGTCGGATAAAGATGGAAGTGTTTGTAAAGCAACACCACACCATATTTTGATGGCTTATACCACCCACTTATGGTAAAATTCGGGATGGTTTACTATTGCTTTACTAACATTATGTATATTTTCGGATATATTTTTCTTTATGTACCTCCGATGGTACTGTACCTCTACTTATTCGCGTGCACAGGAAAAACTTCTTGTTGTGTGAAATGTACCGCCTTCCATTGTGATATTTTCGGATATGTGCCGTAAGAATTGTAAAAGTCATAAAGACAACGTACCAGTAACATGCTTATCATTATTGACTATATATAATTATATATAATCATATATTGATAATATATATATATATACATACATGATGACTCATGATGTAATACATAATCATGCTGTAACATGCTACAAAATATTAAAAAAACATATCTAGCATTTATATTTAAATACTTCATATATATATATGTGCCATGGCCGAAGCATGAATGATACACCCATACTGGGGGATGGTCATCCATGTCATCCATCTATTATTGGAACTTCTACAACCATAAGGATTTCTATGCTGGGACGGATGACCATACACCTTAAGAAATCCCAGAAAGAATCCTATTCAAATCCGTTCATATCCAATTACCCTGTGGTAATTTAACATAGCTATGGAAAATCATCATTTTCAATGGGTAAATCCACTATTTCTATGGCAATTTTCAATGGCTATGTTAAATTACCAGAGGGTAAATCACCATTTTGTTGCTTAACAGCCCCTTTTCCATTTCCTCCATGGTTGTTGCTTATTTTTCCATGATCAACCATTATGCTATATATAATCATTATTATTCATGATTCATCATCATATTTAATATCTAACATATAACCAGATTATATTGTTATCCATATTATTCCCAAATTACATGGTTAACTATTACTTTATGTGTTTACTTTTACTCTCCATACTATCCCTACATATATTATGTGAATGTCATAGTGAATAATAATTGATGTAGATGATCTCAAATGATTGATATTGAATATTCATTCGATACATTATATCCATAAATTATTTAATAGAAATCTATTTTGTTACTATTACCAATATATATATATATATATCAAGTGTCATTAATCATAGGTTCTATAGATATATGAAGATACAGTTGTTACCGTGTACTATTACTATTCTATGGTTACGTATATATCATCATTATTATTATCATTCTCAGTGAGTCTCAGTATCATTTATAGTCCATTAATATTTTACCACCATAATTGACAATCATTACTACTACTATTACTATTATTGTTTTTATTACTATTATTTTTTTTTTATCCATACTATCATGAATAAGTATCATTACTATTACTGTTGTTATCATGAATATAGTTGTTATTGATATTTATATATTGCTTTCTATATTATCCATGTCAGTATCATATATTGTTACTATCGTTATCATTACCATTATCCATACTGTTGTTATTATTACGATAGTATGGATATTCATACTATTGTCATTATTACCATAGTACGGAAAATCATAATAACTAATAACTACTATTACCCTCTGGTAAAGCAAACATAGCTATGAAAAATCACAATCGTTAATAGTTCATCAACTACAAATGTGCCATTTTCAATAGCTATGTTAAAAGCCAGAGGGTAATAGCTATTACTATTGTTTTTATCATCATTACTATCATTATTATCTCTATATTTGTTATTGTTATTACATTTATTATCCATACTATTATATAGATGTTATTTAATGATTCCACTATATGGTAATGATATGGTAATAAGCAATAATAATGACAATGATAATAGAATTCACTATATATTACAATTATCATACTAATATTCCATACTATTACTATTATTATTATGGTAATATTCCATAATAGGAATATAATATGATCACAATCGTATTCACTATATATGATGTTATGATTATCCCTACTATTAGATGTTATCAGTGATTCCTACTTATATCGTAATGACCATAACCGTATTCCCTAATGATTTTCATTTTTTTGCTAAAATTCATTTTCTCTGTTCTCCACGGGGTCATAACTATATGATTCACTATATATTCACTATAGGATTCACCATATATTTCCATATTCACTATATCTTCACTATATCTTCACTATATAATCACTATATGATTCACCATATATTTCCGTATTCACCATATATCTTCACTATATCTTCACTATATAATCACTATATGATTCACCATATATTTCCGTATTCACTATATCTTCACTATATCTTCACTATATAATCACTATATGATTCACCATATATTTCCGTATTCACCATATATCTTCACTATATCTTCACTATATAATCACTAAATGATTCACCATATATTTCCGTATTCACTATATATCTTCCCTATATCTTCACTATGTAA